CCTAATAAATATATTTTAAATAAAATGCTCCGCAGGGCGCAGCTTGATACGACCGCAGAGGTCGAACCCTGAACAGTTGGGGCAAGTATGGACACAACATTCAAGCTTGATACAGCTCTGAATTTGGATTGTGATTAAATATTTGACACAGCATAGGTTTCTGACACAGAATGAATGTGGTCTAAGAACTTAAAAATTTTAAATTGGACATTCACCTATTATGGTCCAATATCCAAAATCTAAATACATGGTTAGATTCAGCATATCAAAGAACCCCAAGAATTCAATTTTTGATGAAATCAAACAAAGTTTAATTTTGGACCCTTTTGACCTCAGTGTGGACAAAGTTGATAACGGGGCCCAAAAATCAAAAATCTGAATACATGGTTAGATTCAGCATATCAAAGAACCCCATATATTCAATTTTTGTTGAAATCAAACAAAGTTTAATTTTGGACCCCGATTTGGACCAACTTGAAAACTGGGCCCATAATCAAAAATCTAAATACATGTTTAGATTCAGCATATCAAAGAACCCTAAAAATTCAATTTTTGTTAAAATCAAACTAAGTTTAATTTTGGACCCTTTGGACCTTAATGTAGACCAATTTGAAAACGGAACCAAAAATTAAGAATCTAAATACACGGTTAGATTCAGCATATCAAAGAACCCCAATAATTCAATTTTTGATGAAATCAAACAAAGTTAAATTTTGGACCCTTTGGACCTCAATGTGGACCAATTTAAAAAAAAGGCCCAAAATCCAAAAACTTAATACACGGTTAGATTCAGCATATTAAAGAACCCCAAGAATTCAAGAATAAAACCCCATTGAAATTGATCAAGAAATAAGCAATTTATACGAAGTATCTTCTTTTGCACAATACTGTGCAATTGAACATTTCTTGCTATTGCACAATACTGTACAATTGACAATTTCTTGCTATTGCGCAATATTGTGCTATTGGATATTTCTTGCTATTGCGCAATACTGTGCAATTGAAGATTTCTTGCTATTGCGCAATACTGTGCAATTGAAGATTTCTTGCTATTGTGCAATACTGTGCAATTGAAAATTTCTTGCTATTGCACAATACTTATTATATAATAATTTACACATCCTGTTTGGTGTGTATCTCCTACCATATCATTATTATTTGCTTTTAAATATTAATCAGAAATAACCAACTTAAAATGGAAAATTTTAAAAGAAAAAGAAAAGATAAAAAGAAAAAAAAGGAAAAAAAAAAAATCCCCCCCCCCAAATTTTTTGAACCCCCTTATGATTCATCACCCCCAAACTCAATCCCAGCCTTCCCTTTGTGGTATGGTACCTTGCAGTAAAATTTCAGAGAGATCCATACACTTGAACACAAGTTATTGTCTGGAAACTAGAAAAATACTTATTTTTGGCCCCTTTTTGGCCCCCAATTCCTAAACGTTTCGGGCAATTACCCCCAAACTCAATTCCAGCTTTCCCTTTGTGATATGGAACCTTGTAGTACAATTTCAGAAATATCCAAACACTTACACACAAGTTATTGTCATGAAACTAGAAAAATGTTTGTTTTTTGCCCCTTTTTTGGCCCCTAATTCCTAAAATTTTGAGGCAATTACCCCCAAAATCAATTACAGCCTTCCCTTTGTGATATGGAACCTTGTGGTACAATGTCAGAGAGATCCATACACTTACACACAAGTTATTGTCTGGAAGTTACAAAAATGCTTATGTTTGGCCCCTTTTTGGCCCCTAATTCCTTAACTGTTGGTTCCATAACCCCAAAAATCAATCCCAACCTTCCTTTCGTGGTATTGAACCTTATGGTAAAATTTCATGGAGATCCTTTCACTTAAACTAAAGTTAGAGTGCGAAAACCAATGTGTCTTCGGACGACGCCGGACTACGCCAGACGACGATGACGATGATGACGACGCCAACGTCATACCAATATACGACCAAAAATTTTTTAATTTTTGCGGTCGTATAATAAAAATAAAATATTAACAAAAACAAAAGAAAGTATTGAATAAAATTATTGTCACAGTTAATTACTGTATTGAATCATTATAGATAGTTTGCCCTTAAAAAATCTTCTAAAAATAATTATTAAACAAATTAAAACTTTATAGATGAATGGAAAAAATATGAAGATGAAATTTTCATAATTCTATACACACCTTACATGTATTTCAATGAAAGATTGAATATGTCAATCAACATTTTTACACCAAACTGTGGTTGTTATTTCACCTAATTAACAGATTAATATCAAAATGTTTTTGTTGCAATCAAATCTTCTCAACTTATGTTTGTCCTCACAGAGCCCTTAGGCATTTAACAAGACAATCCTTAATTGCACATTTATTATATCCCTTTGAAATCCCTTTATGATGTCTTAATGATTCAATGATTAAGTGATCAATGTTAGAAACAAAATTATATGATAATTTATTTATTTTTCTAGTATTTGAAGTCTATGTCACTAACACTGTATATATATAAAAGAATTGGTTTGTAAAAATTGGTATTAATGTTGCACCATACGTAAATGCTGTGGTTAAGCTCATGTAAATATCATGTACTGTCTACCTTGTCATTTATTAGGTAATACACACCATAAAACATTATATTGGGTAGCTCATGAGGAAAAGACACATGCATAATAAAGATTACCCACTCTCTACTGTTTGTACAATTCTAAACATTTAAAAAAATTCGAAGAAAAATTGATGATGTTCTGGAATTTTTTTCATGGTTTTTGTATCTTTCTGACTTTTACTACAATTGTTTTTAACAAAACAGGTCTTAAAATTAATGAAGAAGAGAAGTGTTGTTGAATTGTTGGATTTGTTTTTAATTGTAGAGTTTTTGAATCGGTTAATTTCTGAAGTCAACCCAATTTGGTATCTTTTGGTATCTTGTCACAGATTTTTTTTCTTTTAATCAGTCTTAAATTTCATTAGCAACCAAGTTCTTGGTAATGAATTCTTATTTATTTAGCGAAAAAATATGCAAAAGCTCCATTATTGTTTTTGCTTCTTAAGGGTTCTCATCATGGTCGTCAAAAAAAAATCTTGAGTTTTGAGAATTTGCAATCCAACCAATTTTGTATTCTCTGACGGGTGTAAATTAATTGCACATTTTATTTTTTAGAATGGTGGAAGATAAAAATTTGGATACCATAAGAGTTGAATTGACATTTACATGAGTCTTCATCATATGTACATATACCCCGGTAATATTTTGAGATAGAATTTTCTTATACTTTGCCAAAAGGAAGATTTTACTATGCTTTTTTCAAAAATATAATAAAAAGTATGGGTCACTGTGCTATTTTCCAAGCTATGAGTCGTTGAAAATTGCCTAAATTTGGTTAGATTGTTCATGAAAAAAACACATTTGTGTGCATAAAAAAATTCTATGAGATAGAATTTTGAAATAAATTGTAAGAAGATAGGTTTTATAATATGTTTTAAAAAAATAAAAAGAAAAAATGGTGTCACCGAACTTGTTTTCTTGCTACAAGTAAAAATAGAAAATTTCCCTATCAGTCCAGTATATATTTTTTACTAAAAGAGTTATCTCCCCTTAAATGGCTTATTTGAAAAAAATGATTCTAAAAACACAAAATTTGATATTTGTTTAAATATTTTGAATAATACAATAAATCACCAAGTTTTCTTTATATAAATAATCAATCTAACCATTAAATTGCAAATCTGTCTCCAAATTTGCAGATTTGGGCAAATAACGACCAATTTTGTACTGAGATGTACAATCCAAGATGGCGGTATACCATGAATCTACCTTAAACATTATACAATTATGGCCCGTTGAAAAGGTGAATATCCAAAATTGTCAACACAAGAAGGTTATTTCACTGAGGGCGCAGCCCGAAGTGAAATAACTTTTGAGGGTTGACAATTTTGGATATTCATCGCTTCTAAGGGGCCACAATTGTTTTATTATACCGAACTAACAGTTGAAGGGCATTTTGAATCATTGTAAAAGCACTTACCCTTACTTGAGTCAGTAACAAACACAAGTTGACGTTCAAAAATACATGTAATTTGTGTCTTAGAATTCTCGTATGTACAACAAAGGTAGATTCTTTTAGTAAAATATTGATAGTCCTGAAAAGGACCATTATTAGAGATATCATCGGCACAAGATGCACGTCAAAAGCCTTATTTCCTCTTCTCTCGATCAATGGGCTTCTTGTAACCTGAACGTTGCCATTTTGTTTATTTACGCCTGTGACGTCATTTTCATGAGTACAAATCAACAAACTAAAAAGGTTATTCGCGGGTGAATAATAGGGTTATTCAACGCTGGTGGTAATTTTTAGGGTTATTCGTTCTTCCTTGCAATTGAATGAAAATTAACTGAATTATTCCATGTCACGTGATAACGTTTTACCCAATAGAATTGTTTGAAATATATGTAAGGTATAATAATATCAGTTATCAATAAAGAAGAAATGTTCCCAGGGATATAATTTCTTTAATGTAAAAAAATAAATTATAATGTGATGTTCAGATTTGTTGCATTGAATTTTTAATAGATATCAAAATAATCTCACCTCAATACATTTTCATGCAATGCATTCTGGGAAAAAATATTCAAAATAAATTTTAAGATGGAGGAGAAAGTTTGAAGATGGAGGAAAAGTACAAAGATACAATAGGTGTAACACCACTAATTCAGGCCCGGTCAGAAAGCACATACCAGAAAGTAGTACATATTTAACACAAATTAGTTCCTACACATGGGTATAACTTTCAAAATATGTAGAATATTTAGGTAATTTCGGTATCAAATGAAAGCTGAATGACTGGTAATCATTGTAGAACATTTTTTTACTTATAATTTTGAATAATAAAAAAATTGCATGAAATTTAAATAAATTGCTTCGCCGAGCGCAGCTGGATACGACCGCAGAGGTCCAACCCTAAACAGTTTGAGCAAAAATGGACACAATATTTGCGCTTGATACAGGTCTGAATTTGGATTGTAATTAAATATTTGACACATAATAAGTTTCTGACACAGAATAACTGTAGAATTGGTTATATGATTTGAATTTATATTCAATTTTTTGCTTTTGTGCAATACACTTTGCTGTTGTGAATTGACCCCCCCTCCCCCCACAAAAAAATAAAAATAGTTTACCCCCCTTTTTTTTGCTTTTGTGCAATACACTATGCTGTTGCGTATTGCCCCCCCCCCCCCCCCCCCCCAATTTTTTTTTTGCAAAAAAAAAATATTTGAAGAATTTTTCTTTTTAATTTCAGAAATCTAAAATGGGAAAAAATTGACCCCCCACAATTTCTTTTTACCCCCCCCCCCCCCCTCCTTTTTCCTCAAGATATGGTCATAATCTCAATTCAAATTGTCCATTAACCAGGAAACCCTTGTTTTTCCCCCTTTTTTGCCCCTAAATCCTAAACGGTTTGAGGCATAACCCCCCAAAGCCAATCCTAACTATCCCTTTGTGGTACGGAAACTTGTGGTATAATTTCAGAGAGATCCATACACCGTTCCACAAGTTATTGTCTGGAAACTAGAAAAATGCTTATTTGGGCCCCTTTTTGGCCCCTAATTCCTTAACTGTTTGGACTACAACCCCCATAATCAATCCCAACTTTCCTTTTGTGGTTATAAACCTGGTGTTTAAATTTCATAGATTTCTATTTACATTTACTAAAGTTATTGTCCGTAAACCAAATGTCTTCAGACGACGCTGACGACGACGTGATACCAAACTTTTTGCGGTCGTAAAACAAGAGGGTACATTTTGCCTGTTTGTCAGATATGAAGTACCTGTTTTGGTACATTCGAAGTTCCTGGAACCAGTTCTTTCTTATATGCCATTAAAGGTATGTTGATTTTTTCAGTACAAGACACATATAAAGTGTTGCTTTGACATGCAATGATTGTCACTTTATTTGAACTTAAAACAAAAGAGCTGTGCCTGCTTGAAATTGAGGAATTTAACATAGAAAGCAATGGGGCCATGAATTCGTGGTGTACTTCCTATTACAGAGAATCTTCAGAAATTCAATTGTTATAGAAATTCCAATGAAAAATGGCCATACTCGATGTCAGTAATCAACTTTTTTGGATAAACAATTCTGTTTATGGGAAATTTCAGGTCTTAAATTGACACAATAAGGTACATGTATTTAAGCCTTTTATGGTCATACAACATGCATGCAGGTAAGACTTGACCCCCAAGTTCTTATATTTGCATTATTTTGGATTGAAATCAATAAAACATGTATATTATGACTTGTTTATTGTAAAAATAATATCTCTTGGTCAAATAATCCTATGATTTTTCCAGTTTTATTGGTTTTTTTATGATAGCCCTTTACAATCTAGGCAATTGGTATATACTCATATAAGAATTCCAAAATCTCACTGCATGTACATGCAATTTTGAACCAGTTTAGCAAGTTATCCAACTGAGGGATATATAAATTGCTCTTAAAAATCTATGTCGTACCACAGAAGTATGGTTTATACCAAAAATGTCCCTTTTCCAATATGAAGAAAAAAAGGGGGGACAATATTCTCAATTATATCTTAGGTTTGGACTAATATATTTTTATTAAATGAACAACCTGTGATAAAAATATGACTATAGGTAAGCACATTGTTTTCCTAGTAGAAATTTACAAATAGAACCAAGATATTGAGAATAAATAAAATGCTCCGCTTGGCACAGCTTGATACGACCGCAGAGGTCGAACCCTGAACAGTTGGGGCAAGTATGGACACAACATTCAAGCTTGATACAGCTCTGAATTTGGATTGATTAAATATTTGACACAGCATAGGTCTCTGACACAGAATGAATGCATGTTGTCTTAAAGAACTTAAAAAATCTTAATTTACCTATTATGGTCCAATATCCAAAATCTGAATACATACACGGTTAGATTCAGCACATCAAAGAACCCCAAGAATTCAATTTTTGTTAAAATCAAATTAAGTTTAAATTTGGACCCTTTGGACCTTAATGTAGACCAATTTGAAAACGGGACCAAAAATTAAGAATCTTAATACACGGTTAGATTCAGGATATCAAAGAACCCCAATATTTCAATTTTTGATGAAATCAAACCATATCATTATTATTTGCTTTTATATATAAATAAAAAATAACCAACATAAAATGGAAAATTTTAAAGAAAAAAACTAGAGGCTCTAAAGAGCCTGTGTCGCTCACCTTGGTCTATGTGCATATTAAACAAAGGACACAGATGGATTCATGACAAAATTGTGTTTTGGTGATGGTGATGTGTTTGTAGATCTTACTTTTCTGAACATTCTTGCTGCTTACAATTATCTCTATCTATAATGAACTTGGCCCAGTAGTTACAGTGGAAAATATTTTGTAAAAATTTACAAAATTTATGAAAATTATAAAAAATTGACTATAAAGGGCAATAAAAATTGACTATAAAGGGCAATAACTCCTTCAGGGGTCAATTCACAATTTTGGTCATGTTGACTTATTTGTAGATCTTATTTTGCTGTACATTATTGCTGTTTACAGTTTATCTCTATCTATAATAATATTCAAGATAATAACCAAAAGCTGCAAAATTTTCTTAAAATTACCAATTCAGGGGCAGCAACCCAACAATGTGTTGCCTGATTGGTCTGAAAATTTCAGGGCAGATAGATCTTGACCTGATAAACAATTTTACCCCTGTCAGATTTGCTCTAAATGCTTTGGTTTCAGAGATAAGAGCCAAAAACTGCATTTTACCCTATGTACTATTTTTTAGCCGTCGGCCATCTTGGTTCGCGGGCGGGGTCATCTGACACATTTTTAAAACTAGATACCCTAATGATGATTGTGGAGAAGTTTTGTTAAATTTGTCTTAGTGGTTTCAGAGAAGAAGATTTTTGTAAAAGATTACAAAAATTTACGAAAAATGGTTAAAAATTGACGATAAAGGCCAATAACTCCTTAAGGGGTCAACTGACCATTTTGGTCCAGTTGACTTATTTGTAGATCTTACTTTGCTGAACATTATTGCTGTTTACAGTTTATCTCTATCTATAATAATATTCAAGTTAATAACCAATAAAATGCTCCGCAGGGCGCAGCTTGATACGACCGCAGAGGTCGAACCCTGAACAGTTGGGGCAAGTATGGACACAACATTCAAGCTTGATACAGCTTTGCATTTGGATTGTGATTAAATATTTGACACAGCATAGGTTTCTGACACAGAATGAATGTGGTCTAAGAACTTAAAAATTTTAAATTGGACATTCACCTATTATGGTCCAATATCCAAAATCTAAATACATGGTTAGATTCAGCATATCAAAGAACCCCAAGAATTCAATTTTTGATGAAATCAAACAAAGTTTAATTTTGGACCCTTTTGACCTCAATGTGGACAAAGTTGATAACAGGGCCACAAAAACAAAAATCTAAATACATGGTTAGATTCAGCATATCAAAGAACCCCATATATTCAATTTTTGTTGAAATCAAACAAAGTTTAATTTTGGACCCCGATTTGGACCAACTTGAAAACTGGGCCCATAATCAAAAATCTAAATACATGTTTAGATTCAGCATATCAGAAGAACCCTAAGAATTCAATTTTTGTTAAAATCAAACTAAGTTTAATTTTGGACCCTTTGGACCTTAATGTAGACCAATTTGAAAACGGAACCAAAAATTAAGAATCTAAATACACGGTTAGATTCGGCATATCAAAGAACCCCAATAATTCAATTTTTGATGAAATCAAACAAAGTTTAATTTTGGACCCTTTGGACCTCAATGTGGACCAATTTAAAAACGGGGCCCAAAATCCAAAAACTAAATACACGGTTAGATTCAGCATATTAAGAATTCCAAGAATTCAAGAATAAAACCCCATTGAAATTGGTCAAGAAATAAGCAATTTATACGAAGTATCTTCTTTTGCACAATACTGTGCAATTAAATATTTCTTGCTATTGCGCAATACTGTACAATTGACAATTTCTTGCTATTGTGCAATATTGTGCTATTGGATATTTCTTGCTATTGCACAATACTGTGCAATTGAAGATTTCTTGCTATTGCGCAATACTGTGCAATTGAAGATTTCTTGCTATTGTGCAATACTGTGCAATTGAAAATTTCTTGCTATTGCACAATACTTATTATATAATAATTTACACATCCTGTTTGGTGTGTATCTCCTACCATATCATTATTATTTGCTTTTAAATATAAATCAGAAATAACCAACTTAAAATGGAAAATTTTAAAAGAAAACCCCACCCCCCCCAAATTTTTTGAACCCCCTTATGATTCATCACTCCCAAACTCAATCCCTGCATTCCCTTTGTGGTATGGTACCTTGCAGTACAATTTCAGAGAGCTCCATACACTTGAACACAAGTTATTGTCTGGAAACTGTAAAAATGTGTTTTTTGGCCCCTTTTTGGCCCCAAATTCCTAAACGTTTAGGGCAATTACCCCCAAACTCAAACCCAGCTTTCCCTTTGTGATATGGAACCTTGTAGTACAATTTCAGAAAGATCCATACACTTACACACAAGTTATTGTCCTGAAACTAGAAAAATGCTTGTTTTTTGCCCCTTTTTGGCCCCTAATTCCTAAAATTTTGAGGCAATTACCCCCATCATCAATCCCAGCCTTCCCTTTGTGGTATGGTACCTTGCAGTACAATTTCAGAGAGATCCATACACTTTAACACAAGTTATTGTCTGGAAACTAGAAAAATGCTTATTTTTGGCCCCTTTTGGCCCCCAATTCCTAAACGTTTCAGCAATTACCCCCAAACTCAATTCCAGCTTTCTCTTTGTGATATGGAACCTTGTAGTACAATTTCAGAAAGATCCATACACTTACACACAAGTTATTGTCATGAAACTAGAAAAATGCTTGTTTTTTGCCCCTTTTTGGCCCCTAATTCGTAAAATTTTGAGGCAATTACCCCCATCATCAATCCCAGCCTTCCCTTTGTGGTATGGTACCTTGCAGTACAATTTCAGAGAGATCCATACACTTAAACACAAGTTATTGTCTGGAAACTAGAAAAATGCTTATTTTTGGCCCTTTTTTGGCCCCCAATTCCTAAACGTTTCAGCAATTACCCCCAAACTCAATTCCAGCTTTCTCTTTGTGATATGGAACCTTGTAGTACAATTTCAGAAAGATCCATACACTTACACACAAGTTATTGTCATGAAACTAGAAAAATGCTTGTTTTTTGCCCCTTTTTGGCCCCTAATTCCTAAAATTTTGAGTCAATTACCCCCAAAATCAATCCCAGCATTCCTTTTGTGATATGGAACCTTGTGGTACAATATCAGAGAGATCCATACACTAACACAGAAGTTATTTCTGGAAGTTACAAAAATGCTTATTTTTGGCCCCTTTTTGGCCCCCAATTCCTTTACTGTTGGTACCATAACCCCCAAAATCAATCCCAACCTTCCTTTTGTGGTATTGAACCTTGTGGTAAAATTTCATAGAGATCCATTCACTTAAACTAAAGTTAGAGTGCGAAAACCAATGTGTCTTCGGACGACGACGACGACGACGCCAACGTCATACCAATATACGACCACAAAATTTTTTTTGCGGTCGTATAAAAACGGCAAAATATCCTTTAAATTACCAATTCAGGGGGAGCAACCCAACAACGGGTTGTCAGATTCATCTGAAAATTTCGGGGCAATTAGATCTTCGACCTGATAAACAATTTTACCCATGTCAGATTTGCTCTTAATGCTTTGGTTTCAGAGATATAAGCCAAAATCTACATTTTACCCCTATGTTCTATTTTTAGCCATTGCGGCCACATTTGTTGGTTGGCCGGGTCACCGGACACATTTTTTTAAACTAGATACCCCAATGATGATTGTGTCAAATTTGGCCCAGTAGTTTCAGAGGAGAAGATTTTTGTAAAAGTTTATGGACGACGGACGCAGGACGATGGACGCAGGAAGACGGACGCCAAGTGATGAAAAAAGCTCAATTGGCCCCCCCCCCCCAATTTTTTGAACCCCCTTATGATTCATCACCCCCAAACTCAATCCCAGCCTTCCCTTTGACGTATGGTACCTTGCAGTACAATTTCAGAGAGATCCATACACTTGAACACAAGTTATTGTCTGGAAACTGTAAAAATGCTTGTTTTTGGCCCCTTTTTGGCCCCAAATTCCTATATGTTTAGGGCAATTACCCCCAAACTCAAACCCAGCTTTCCCTTTGTGATATGGAACCTTGTAGTATAATTTCATAAAGATCAATACACTTACACACAAGTTATTGTCCTGAAACTAGAAAAATGCTTGTTTTTTGCCCCTTTTTGGCCCCTAATTCCTAAAATTTTGAGGCAATTACCCCCAAAATCAATCCCAGTCTTCCCTTTGTGGTATGGTACCTTGCAGTACAATTTCAGAGAGATTTTCAATATTTGATGAAATCAAACCATATCATTATTATTTGCTTTTATATATAAATCAATAAAATGCTTCGCTGGGGCGCAGCTTGATACTACCGCTGAGGTCGAACCCTGAACAGTTGGGGCAAGTATGGACACAACATTCAAGCTTGATACAGCACTGAATTTGGATTGTAATTAAATATTTGACACAGGATAGGTTTCTGACACAGAATGAAAGTGGTCTAAGAACTTAAAATTTTTTGATTTACCTATTCAAACCATATCATTATTATTTGCTTTTATATATAAATCAGAAATAACCAATTTAAAATGGAAAATTTTAAAGAAAAAAAAAGGAAAAAAAAATCCCCCCCCCCCAAATTTTTGAACCCCCTTATGATTCATCACCCCCCAAACTCAATTCCAGCCTTCCCTTTGTCTTATGGTACCTTGCAGTACAATTTCAGAGAGATCCATACACTTGAACACAAGTTATTGTCTGGAAACTAGAAAAATGCTTGTTTTTTGGCACCTTTTTGGCCCCAAATTCCTAAACGTTTAGGGCAATTACCCCCAAACTCAAACCCAGCTTTCCCTTTGTGATATGGAACCTTGCAGTACAATTTCAGAAAGATCCATACACTTACACACAAGTAATTGTCCTGAAAGTAGAAAAATGCTTGTTTTTTGGCCCTTTTATGGCCCCTAATTCCTAAAATTTTGATGGTATTACCCCCAAAATCAATCCCAGCTCCCTTTGTGGTATGGTACCCTTGCAGTACAATTTCAGAGAGATCCATACACCTGAACAAGTTATTGTCTTGAAACTAGAAAAATGCTTATTTTTTGCCCCTTTTTGGCCCCTTATTCCTAAACTTTTTGGGCAATTACCCCCAAACTCAATTCAAGCTTTCCCTTTGTGATATGGAACCTTGTAGTAAAATTTCATAAAGATCCATACACTTACACACAAGTTATTGTCATGAAACTAGAAAAATGCTTGTTTTTTGCCCCTTTTTTTGCCCCTAATTCCTAAAATTTGAAGGCAATTACCCCCAAAATCAATCCCAGCATTCCCTTTGTGATATGGAACCTTGTGATACAATGTCAGAGAGATCCATACACTTACACACAAGTTATTGTCATGAAACTAGAAAAATGCTTGTTTTTTGCCCCTTTTTGGCCCCTAATTCCTAAAATTTGGAGGCATTTACCCCCAAAATCAATCCCACGTTCCCTTTGAGATATGGAACCTTGTGGTACAATTTCAGAGAGATCCATACACTTACACACAAGTTATGTCTGGAAGTTACAAAAATGCTTATTTTTGGCCCCTAATTCCTGAACTGTTGGTACCATAACCCCCAAAATCAATCCCCACCTTCCTTTTGTGGTATTGAACCTTATGATAAAATTTCATAGAGATCCATTCACTTAAACTAAAGTTAGAGTGCGAAAACTAATGTGTCTTCGGACGATGACGACGACAGCAACATCATACCAATATACGACCACAAAAATCTTTTTGTGGTCGTATAAAAATAACCAACTTAAAATGGAAAATTTTAAAGAAAAAAAAAAAGGAAAAAAAAGGAAAAAAAAAAAATAAAAGGGAAAAAAAAATCCCCCCTAATTTTTAAATCCCCCTTATGATTCATCACCCACTAACTCAATCCCAGCCTTCCCTTTGTCGTATGGTACCTTGCAGTACAATTTCAGACAGATCCATACACTTGAACACAAGTTATTGCCTGAAAACTGTAAAAATGCTTGTTTTTTTGGCCCCTTATTGGCCCCAAATTCCTAAATGTTTAGGCCATTACCCCCAAACTCAAACCCAGCTTTCCCTTTGTGATATGGAACCTTGTAGTACAATTTCATAAAGATCCATACACTTACACACAAGTTATTGTCCTGAAACTAGAAAAATGCTTGTTTTTTGCCCCTTTTTGGCCCCTAATTCCTAAAATTTTGAGGCAATTACCCCCAAAATCAATCCCAGCCTTCCCTTTGTGGTATGGTACCTTGCAGTACAATTTCAGAGAGATTTTCAATATTCGATGAAATCAAACCATATCATTATTATTTGCTTTTATATATAAATCAAAAATAACCAACTTAAAATGGAAAATTTTAAAGAAAAAAAAAAGGAAAAAAAATTTAAAAGATCCCCCCTTATTTTTTGAACCCCCTTATGATTCATCACCCCCAAACTCAATCCCAGCCTTCCCTTTGTCGTATGGTACCTTGCAGTACATTTTCAGAGAGATCCATACACTTGAACACAAGTTATTGTCTGGAAACTGTAAAAATGCTTGTTTTTTGGCCCCTTTTTGGCCCCAAATTCCAAAAATTTTGAGGCAATTACCCCCAAAATCAATCCCAGCATTCCCTTTGTGGAATGGTACCTTGCAGTACAATTTCAGAGAGATCCATACACTTGAACACAAGTTATTGTCTGGAAACTAGAAAAATGCTTATTTTTGGCCCCTTTTTGGCCCCTTATTCCTAAACGTTTTGGACAATTACCCCAACACTCAATTCCAGCTTTCCCTTTGTGACATGGAACCTTGTAGTACAATTTCAGAAAGATCCATACACTTACACACAAGTAATTGTCCTGAAAGTAGAAAAATGCTTGTTTTTTGGCCCTTTTATGGCCCCTAATTCCTAAAATTTTGATGGTATTACCCCCAAAATCAATCCCAGCTCCCTTTGTGGTATGGTACCTTGCAGTACAATTTCAGAGAGATCCATACACCTGAACACAAGTTATTGTCTTGAAACTAGAAAAATGCTTATTTTTTGCCCCTTTTTGGCCCCTTATTCCTAAACTTTTTGGGCAATTACCCCCAAACTCAATTCAAGCTTTCCCTTTGTGATATGGAACCTTGTAGTAAAATTTCATAAAGATCCATACACTTACACACAAGTTATTGTCATGAAACTAGAAAAATGCTTGTTTTTTGCCCCTTTTTTTGCCCCTAATTCCTAAAATTTGAAGGCAATTACCCCCAAAATCAATCCCAGCATTCCCTTTGTGATATGGAACCTTGTGATACAATGTCAGAGAGATCCATACACTTACACACAAGTTATTGTCATGAAACTAGAAAAATGCTTGTTTTTTGCCCCTTTTTGGCCCCTAATTCCTAAAATTTGGAGGCATTTACCCCCAAAATCAATCCCACGTTCCCTTTGAGATATGGAACCTTGTGGTACAATTTCAGAGAGATCCATACACTTACACACAAGTTATGTCTGGAAGTTACAAAAATGCTTATTTTTGGCCCCTAATTCCTGAACTGTTGGTACCATAACCCCCAAAATCAATCCCCACCTTCCTTTTGTGGTATTGAACCTTATGATAAAATTTCATAGAGATCCATTCACTTAAACTAAAGTTAGAGTGCGAAAACTAATGTGTCTTCGGATGATGACGACGACACCAACATCATACCAATATACGACCACAAAAATCTTTTTGTGGTCGTATAAAAATAACCAACTTAAAATGGAAAATTTTAAAGAAAAAAAAAAAGGAAAAAAAGGAAAAAAAAAAATAAAAGGGAAAAAAAATCCTCCCTAATTTTTTGATCCCCCTTATGATTCATCACCCACTAACTCAATCCCAGCCTTCCCTTTGTCGTATGGTACCTTGCAGTACAATTTCAGACAGATCCATACACTTGAACACAAGTTATTGTCTGAAAACTGTAAAAATGCTTGTTTTTTTGGCCCCTTATTGGCCCCAAATTCCTAAATGTTTAGGCCATTACCCCCAAACTCAAACCCAGCTTTCCCTTTGTGATATGGAACCTTGTAGTACAATTTCATAAAGATCCATACACTTACACACAAGTTATTGTCCTGAAACTAGAAAAATGCTTGTTTTTTGCCCCTTTTTGGCCCCTAATTCCTAAAATTTTGAGGCAATTACCCCCAAAATCAATCCCAGCTCCCTTTGTGGTATGGTACCTTGCAGTACAATTTCAGAGAGATTTTCAATATTCGATGAAATGAAACCATATCATTATTATTTGCTTTTATATATAAATCAAAAATAACCAACTTAAAATGAAAAATTTTAAAGAAAAAAAAAAGGAAAAAAAATTTAAAAGATCCCCCCTTATTTTTTGAACCCCCTTATGATTCATCACCCCCAAACTCAATCCCAGCCTTCCCTTTGTCGTATGGTACCTTGCAGTACATTTTCAGAGAGATCCATACACTTGAACACAAGTTATTGTCTGGAAACTGTAAAAATGCTTGTTTTTTGGCCCCTTTTTGGCCCCAAATTCCAAAAATTTTGAGGCAATTACCCCCAAAATCAATCCCAGCATTCCCTTTGTGGAATGGTACCTTGCAGTACAATTTCAGAGAGATCCATACACTTGAACACAAGTTATTGTCTGGAAACTAGAAAAATGCTTATTTTTGGCCCCTTTTTGGCCCCTTATTCCTAAACGTTTTGGACAATTACCCCAACACTCAATTCCAGCTTTCCCTTTGTGACATGGAACCTTGTAGTACAATTTCAGAAAGATCCATACACTTACACACAAGTTATTGTCATGAAACTAGAAAAAGGCTTGTTTTTTGCCCCTTTTTTTGCCCCTAATTCCTAAAATTTTGAGGCAATGACCCCAAAATCAATCCCAGCATATTCCCTTTGTGATATGGAACCTTGTGGTACAATGTCAGAGAGATCCATACACTAACAAACAAGTTATTGTCTGGAAGTTACAAAAATGCTTATTTTTGGCCCCTTTTTGGCCCCTAATTCCTTAACTGTTGGTACCATAACCCCCAAAATCAATCCCAACCTTCCTTTTGTGGTATTGAACCTTATGGTAAAATTTCATAGAGATCCATTCACTTAAACTAAAGTTATTGTGCGAAAACCAATGTGTCTTTGGACAACAATGACCCCAACGTCATACAAATTTTTTGCGGTCGTATAAAAAATCATATTGGCCATTGGTAATATACATATGCAGTTTTCTTTGCATAACCCATATGTTACTACCAGTCCAATTTGAGCTTAAAATCAGTAAAATAGTGTTTGGACTAAAGCTTTATATGTTTTTTATTGTTTGAAATAGATCATAGAATGAAAGTAAATAATGCTGAAGTCTATATAGCAAGTTTGGTTCTGTTATAGGTGTAATTTGGGCCCGGTCAGAAAGCACATACCAGAAAGTAGTACATATTTAACACAAAATAGTTCCTACGCATGGGTATAACTTTCAAAATATGTAGAATATTTAGGTAATTTCGGTATCAAATGAAAGCTGAATGACTGGTGATCATTGTAGAACATTTTTTGACTGATAAATTTGAATAATAAAATAAATGGGGAATGTGTCCATGGGACACAGATGATGTCCCCGCTTGCATATCATATAAGGCATAAAAATTGCATGAAATTTAAAAAAGAGGGTACATTTTGCCTGTTTGTCAGATCTGAAGTACCTGTTTTGGTACATCTGAGGTCCCGGGAACCAGTTCTTTCTTATATGCCATTAAAGGTATGTTGATTTTTTCAGTACAAGACACCATAAAGTGTTGCTTTGACATGCAATGATTGTCACTTTATTTGAACTTAAAACAAAAGAGCTGTGCCTGCTTGAAATTGAGGAATTTAACATAGAAAGCAATGGGCCATGAATTAGTGGTGTACTTCCAATAGAAGGTTTATTCTAATTTCCAAATGATGTAATATCACATGTATTGTGTTCATGTATTTAATGACAGAATGCCTCTTTCCACAAATCTTTACTAGGATACTGGACTTTTACACCCACCAAAAAATGGTAAGTAATTTAAGTAGCTAAACAATTTAATACTACATGTACATGTACTTAAAGTTATGTTTTTTCTTAAATCATAAACTTGTTATCAAATTGAAGCTAAGTATCACCATACATTGAAAAGTTACAAAAGATTACACAACAAATCCTTTAGTATGAACCTAATTCATCAGAATTGCTAATAACAATTTTAATGTGCACTCTATATATTTTTGATTTATTGTTATTGTTCCTGCAATATTATAGCATATTAATTATGAACCTTTTTATTTCTCCAAATGAGACATACATGGCATATGTCAATGCAAAATCTAAAATGCCTGAAGATATATCAGATTGATAGCTCCATTAAAAGATTATTTGTCATTTTCCAAGCTATTTGTTATTGGGTTTTTTTTTTAAGGGAACTAATTGCTCTCTAAAACAAAGAAATGAAAGGCGTACTTGATTTTTTTTTAAAACTAATACAGTCTTGACAGCATAAATTAGAATTAATTGGGACAGCTGAATGTCAATATGTATAACCTTAATAAATTAACGCACACCTATCATATTTATTTCAGATTTTCTATGAAAGAAGATGGAATATTCACTGAAATGAAAGTGATATCAAATGGAGATAAGGAAATCTTAATTTACTGTTCAAATGATAAATACCAACAACTTAATTCTTTTCTATTTCAAGAAAACTTTATTGTAAGTATTGATGTTTTTCAATTTTCGTTAGCATCACATTTTCCATTTAGAAGTTATGCAAGTTAAATGTGTATAATATCAGGTTACTCATCCATTTTATTGCAGCAAATAGGAATTATCATGTTTGCTTCCCCCCAAAAGTGTGAAATTCTTATTTATCTGATGTGATATGATATTTATGAAACATGTACCTACTAAATAATGCTCTTTTTTCAGGATACACCTTGAAAACGATGTCTACACAGAGATTGACAATTGATAATCTGATTGAAAACAGTCACTACAAAAGTCTAAAAGTCTGAAAAGACCAGTTTTTGTCTTAATTTGCATGAAGTTTTACTCGACATTCTCCAAAAGTATGACTTGTGTCTTAATTTTTCTTGACAAATGACAAATTCTCATTTATATTAAATTTGTATGAAATTTACTCGACATATTCTCGACATTCTGAATATGGTCTTAAAATTTCTTGACAAATTCTTGACATTTGAATACTGTCTTGAAATTTCTCGACATATTCTCGACATTCTTATTTTTTCTCAGTATGGCTTGACATATTCTGAACATTTTGAATTGTGTCTTAAATTTACTTGACAGTTCTGAGTGTTACAAATCATGACCAATATTCATGATATAACTTTAATCTTTATTTCTCTTTATATGATATACTGTTGTTTCAAGTTACACTTCTTTACAACAAAAATAAAAGTTGGGCATGTAAAATAATTGAAAATTTGGGTATATAAATATTTTTACAAATGCAAATATGGCTATGAAATCTAAAGTATAAAATAATTCAAATGTGGGTGTGTTGATATAAAACAATTTCAATGTGGGTTTTTAAATAATTACAAATTTTGATTCCTAAATCTTATAAATTAAATGATTCAAACCAATCATACTGTAGACATATTTCATTCTACATTCATAATATTCAATGTTGATATGGTAAATAATTATTAAACCAAAATGTGGTTTATATAAATAGCAAATTATGATGATATACAAATCATTCATTTAACAGAAGAAAAATTTGTGTAATGTCATCTGTTGGAATATATTAAGTATTACACATGGACAGCATGTTCCCCATAAAATTAAGGTATTCCACACCCCAGAGTACATGCAACTGTCAAATAGAAGTTATTGCTTTACCTGTAATCAGCCATACAACTTATCAGTTGACCGACCATGCCACTAGTTTGTTGATAGATGAAAATGAAAATCATCATTTTGATGAAAAAAAATTGAATTGAAATGGATTTTCTTCATCAAAATTATGAAGTTAATTATTTTAACATAAAAACAAATTGAATAATTCCCAAAGATTAAAAGAAAATTATTATCTACTCCAGGAATAATAAAAAAAAATGTATTTATAATGGGTCCCATCAATGATTTCTATAGAAATCATCGGTATTATGAAATGGTTCTCAAACAGACATGCATAATATAGATCTAAACATTTTTTTCTTTTCAGGAAGGAGTTATCACAAATATTTATTTTTGATAAAAAATTATAAAAATCAACTCTCAATTTGAATAAAAAATGTTTTTGGGTTGTTCTAAAAAATGAAAAATTTGTAAGGGTTCCGCGGAACCCAGTGTCTCGCCTACTTTTTCTGTTAATCGCAGGCTCAACAAAAATGAGGAAGTAAATCAATAAAAATATTCCTCTTGATACTAGCATTTGATTGTAAGAAGCTTCTGTCCAAGTTTGGTAAAAATCCAGGATAGTTTATGATTCTAATAAATGTTTAAAAACTTTAACTGCAGACTGAATGTAATGTTCACTGGAAGAAAACAAAATTTCCTTCTAGATACTAGCATTTGATCATAAACAAGCTTCTGTTAAAGTTTGGTACAAATCCAAAATAGTATAAGAAAGTTATTAAAATTTTAAAAACTTTAAAGGGAAACTTCGCAAAAAAATAAAAAATTGATATTATGTCCATTCCGTATAAAAAAGCACAAATTCATAAATATTAAAGTTTTATTCTGCTAGATAAGAGATCACCATCGATTTTAAATTTAGAGTATCAATTCTCTGCGTGCGGCCATTTTGACATCTTCTCGGTTTAGAAACCACGATATATCTATAAACCACAAAGGACCAAAACCAGCAGTAACCTAACGTAGTCGCATTTATCCGACTAACTAACTTGATACGGAAAATGTAATTATTTTTTTAAATAACTACGGTCTGTCGTTTTTAAACTGTTTTTTCTTTACGAAGTTTTTGAAACAAGAAATTTATATGGAATTAGTTAAAAAGTCAAAGTTCAAAGTCATAAATAAGTGTTCCGTGTAAAATTGTTTTCAAAAATCTAATGTGTTCATAATTCTTTTATGTAATAAACTTATTTAAATAAAGTCGGACCTTCTCTTATCTGATCACCAGCATGGCTAAAGGAATTAATGCCTGAGGTATTGTGAGGTGACACGTCCAGGTATTCAAGCGATTTCATGTCGGGATTAAAAACTCTTATAACACAATTTCATAAAGCATGTTCATGCATCGCTTCACTTCTGAGGGTATTGATCAGTGTACACAGCCGATAACTTGTAACTTTCCATTTTGAAACTATCAGGTGTATAATATACATCTCTGTCTTGCGTGTCCGATAGTGATATAAATAATTCCAAAAAAAGATTTGATAAAATAAAAATCTATTTACATATTTTTTCCAAGGGTAAATTGGGGAAAATGTAAGTATATACTCGTTGTCAATAATGATGGACATTTTGAATAATGAAAGACTATTGATTTAACAAAAATGTACGCACTTGTCGATCATTGGTTTATACGCTTAGATAGAAAGTTACGGAACTATAGATAGTCTCAATTTAAAATTGTATATTGAATATAAGAAAGAACATCCAGAACAAATTTGATTTAAATACAGGTCGATATCTAACTTGCTTTGGTTCATCGAAGTTATGGACATAGTAAAATCACAGATTTATATTTCAATTAGATTGTTCTCGAACAGTTGAAGAAATTCGTCATCATCACAATTGTTGGGTATAATGTATATTAATGTGAACATGGTTCTAATAGAACCTTATGCCAATTTTCCTGCTCCGACATGCATGTAATATATATGCCACTGGACGTACACTAATCATCCCCAAAAAGTTTATTTGAAGAAATAAAGAAACTTCACTCCT